GGAGCTGGGGCTGGCGATGGCCGACAGGGAGCCCTGGCGTGGGCTGGTCCGTGAGATCACGAAGAGTCGGAAGTGATTGAATGAATAAACAACAACAAGGCTGACAAATCTTCAAGCTCACTCAGTGAGTTTCCATGTCCAAGTGGGATTTGAACCCTTGTCTCCTGCCATCCACCATTCAAAGCAGTATGCCACACTGATATGCTGATGCTGTTGTTATAGATCTACTATAGCTGGGATGAAAAACTGGGTGAAAAGCCATAATATCGATCAAATACGAATTTGTTATATTCAGAGGAAAAAGCTGGGTTTCAGTGAAAAGCTGAATATAACAGAATAATCATCCATCTTTTCATAGCACACACCTTCTGATCAAAACAAACTATTTAAATAAGTTAAAGAGTATAATTGTGAGGCACTGAAGCATGTTGGCTACGGAATATAGTAGCTCTTAATTTGAGACAATTGTGGAGATGCCACAAGCTGTGCAAAGTGAAATGCACTCCTTCATTAAGCAATAGAATCTCAGCTGCACTTCCCTTTGGCAGCATCTGCGATCCTCCCCATCATATACCCTACCCAGCATAGCCAAAGATAATAAGGGATCCTGGAACTATATTCCAACAGCATCCAGTGGACCATGTGTACCCTTTGCCCTGCTCTATAACACTAGGTTGAAACACATTTAAGAAAAAGAGCACAATCAGAGGGCTTGCATTTTCAGTTCAATAAAAATAACTGGTAACGCTAAAACATCAACGATGGCCTCTTCCACACAGCTGAATAAAATCCAACATTATCTGCTTTGAACTGGGATATATGGCAGTGTGGACTCAGATAACCCAGTTCAAAGTAGATATTGTGGGTTATTCTGTATTGATATTCGGGTTATATGGCTTTGTGGAAGGGCCCACAGTCTTTCCTTACCAACTTGAGAGGAACTCCCTTCAACCTACTCGGAATGATGTCAAGGAAAAACACAAAGGAGTCTGCTGTTAAAGTGACCTATTGATATCTACAGATATATCTACAAGTCCCTCAAAAGCCCCTAACCCCCCCTTTTTAAAAAAAGACTTGATTTTCATAGTCCCCCCCCCCCAAATCATGCAGAAATTTCCCAAAGATATGAAAATATACAATATATGCTGCCCTCCCAGAAACACCCAGAACCCTGTACCACCTCTAAACATCTCTGTTTACTTCCATGGTCTCTCTCTAACATGGTGGCAGAAGTGATGCCATATGTGAGATTTTGGGGTTTGTTGTGGAAATGTGTGGGGCAGTCAGCAAGAGGTCGGGATTTGGCACCTGGGCCCTACATAGTTGCCAACCACACTATAGTTAAGTAAATTAACAAGCTATTTTATTCCAGACATATAATCATATTTATAAATAGTTCTTTATGCAATATTTTACGTTAACACACATTGTGTTCAGAACTTTTCCTAGTATGTGTGCTGTAAAGTACTTATAAGAAATATTATCAAAATCAACTAGAGGACAAGATCAATTCACAAAGAAAATAATCAGAAAACAGCTGTGATAGGAGATTGGTTGAAAATTGATTTTTCAGGACCCACAAGAGTGAACTCATTCCTAATACTTCAGGGACTGGTGTGTTTAATTCCAGCCTGACCCAAAGGAGACATAGGCAGCTTGCTGAAGGACTGAAATAAATCTGATATTATTGTAGAGAACAGTCCAAGTCTAACATATTGCACAGAGAGAAAATAATTGACAGCTTTATGAAATCCAAGGCTTGTGGAATAAAATTCTGTAAGAAAGAAGTAACTGTCATTGTATCAAAACAGCTCTGTAGCTGCAGGCAGAGGGCAACAGAGAGATAAACACAAGGGACTTAGCTTGACCCAAAGAGATAGTCAAGGTTTCTCCACGCAGTCTATCTTTTAAAAACACGTTACTACGTTTCATTCGAATCCTACATGTTGCCAATATATTTTGGTCAAGCTAATTCATGCTATGAGGATGCTTTTGGGGAGATAAGTAGAGCGTGCCCTTAAATCACCAAGGAGAAGTTGACAGTACTTGAGATTACAACTTGTCTGAAACACTCTGCCAATGGCAGTACTGCACTGTGATCCTTAATATTCTCCAGATAAAGTAGCAATATCAATGTCTGCACAATATTTCACAGTAGAACGAGACTCCAAGGGAATTTGTTACGAGACAAGTTTAATTTTCGTCTGTAAAAAGACAAGAAAAGCAGGGGACCTAATTAGATAGCTGTTTACTTTTCATTATTTGAAAATGTATCTTGTGACACTTAAGCATTAATGAGTGTAATGCAAGTAACTTCAAGGAGCAAATTTCCAGCTCTGGGGATCTGATTCCTTTGCCTGATAAAGACGGGACAAGAAGTTGCAGCCCTTACTACCACCACCCCCAGCTGAACAGAATAATAATCCATCATGGGGCAGATTTCTGCCAAAAGTTCACAAGTCCAGCAGAATTATTTCTCTTTTTAGAGACCTCTGGGCACTTTTATATGCATGCAATTGAAGTCTGCAAGCACAAGCCACCAGATTTGGCTCTGAATTGTAGTTTATGGAGAATTTAGTGGCAACTTTAAAAAAGATTTCTCAGGTCACTCATGTACCCAAATGTGAAATTCTTAAAAATGAGGTAGTTATTTCTGACATAAAAAGGAACACTATGTGCCACCAAGCCAGTGCTAATTTGTAATTCATATTCAAACATGCCTGTGCAGTTAATTACATTAGTCTGTTTAGGCCTAGCATGTCTATAGAAACATTACTCAGTTGCTACTGGCTTGTCTTTAAGATCGTCTGGGGAGGCGCTGCTCTTGGTCCCGCCTTTGCCACAAGTACGGTTGGCAGGGACGAGAGACAGGGCCTTCTCAGTGGTGGCCCCTCGGCTATGGAATGCCCTCCCTGAGGACATCAGATCGGCCCCCTCCCTTTTAACATTTAGGAAGAGAGTTAAAACTTGTCTCTTTGAGCAAGCATTTGCAAATACAGGGTAACAGACATAAGAAAATGGAATAACTGACAATGTGACTGGACAATGTTTTTAATGAGGAGACCCCAATGATGCATGTTTTTATTGATTTTATTGATTCTGTTATGGTTTTATTATTCAATTGTTTTATTATATTGAAATTGTATTTTATGGAGTTGGTACCAACTATAAACCATCTCAAGTCACCTGTGGGCTGAGAGGGATGGTATATAAATATAGCAAATAAAATAAATAAATCAATAGTCTCCCTACTGGTGGATTCGAATGCAATTTAGAGTGTGGTCCTTGTACAAAATGCATGTTGAAGAATCATTATAATTGGCAAAAAGAAAATGAGCAACAATCGGTTCCACACCACAACCCACCTAAGGAGTCCAGTAGAGGAAGAAAGACAGGCAACGGGTAAAACATAGATATGAAGTAGCTTCACATACAACATTAAAACGTTATATTACATCTCATGGTGACAGGTTCTGCTACCAAGGGTTCTTCAGACATCGTATTATAGAATCATAGGGCTGGAAAATAATGCAAAAGGCATTCAGTCCAAAGGCTAGTCATGCAGGAAAGAGATGAGGGAAGAATGGTACAGACAGAACAGCAGATGAACAAACCAGCAGCCTAGATGGCTGTGTCTTAAATTGTGGGTCCTGACCTCAGATGAAGTCCCCTTAGCTCAAAATTTGGCAACTGCAAATGCTTTCTATATGTCATATGTTTCAGACATTTACAAAAATCTGTTGTGCAATGTTTACAGTGGGCTCTGTGGAAGATGCTTCAGCTGCATTGCATAAAAAGGAAAATCTACCTTTTTTCAAGCCTTGGAAATGATGATCTGTTATCAGTAAATGTTTGGGGTTTTACACCTATTTTATATACCTATATCCCTGGGGTCATGAAAAACATATCAGACCAAAAGGGGTCATGAGTGGCCTAGAAGATGCAGGAAGAGTGAGGATTTGATAAAACAAGAGAGAGAGGTTGACAAAACTAATAGGAAAGGACTTGCTGTGCTTTACATTTCGGGGTGATATACAAACTAGTAACTAGTAACTTGTGATATTGCAATCCCCTTAACAGTAATAATTATTACCAGCAACAGTATTTGTGTCGGAACCCTTACTACCAGTTGCAGTGTTGCCACCAGACTCTACTACAACAATTTGTTTGCATATATGTTTTCTTTGACAAGACTGTGTTCAAAGCAGCTCACAACATTGCAAGTAAACATTTTTAAAAAAACAATAATAATAATAATAATAATAATACAAACTTTATTTATATTCCACCCCATCTCCCTGAGGGGACTTGGAGTGGCTTATGGCAATGTGAATAATATGAACAATAAACAATAATAAAAAATAACCAATTTAAATTAAATCAACAAAAGTAACAACACAAAATTGATACAAAGTGAATGAAAACATATTAAATTAACACAACCACCATCATCCATAAATAAACACGGATTGTATTATATAAAGGCAATTAAAATATCTCAGCCACTGCTCTGGTTGATGGAACCAATGAAGGCCACTTAAATTTCTTATTCCATTTAAATCGTCCAAACATTACAGATTAGTTTAACCATGATCAAAACCCTGTTTATAAAGCTAGGCTTTCAGTTCCTTCCAGAATGTTGAAAGTGTAGGGGCTTGCCTGATCTCCCCAGGAAGGACGTTCCAGAGCGAGGGGGGGGGCACTATTGATAACCCTCAATAGGAATAGTTACAAATAACCAGGAGGGCCAGGAGGCTAAACACATACAAATATGCATTGAATCAAAGAAATAAGTGTTTTCAGTGTGAAAAAAAATCTGGATCCTGTGCCTTTTTTTTGAAAGAGTAAACTCTGCCAACCTCATCTTTTTTGCCTTTCATGTGTCTCCTATGTGATTTCTGTGTGCCTCCAATGCAATCAAATAGGACAGCGAAGAGCATTTTATCTTAGATTCTGACGGAATCAGGGCAAAAGTCAAGAGAAAGTCTTTGTTGACTTACCTTGCTTTTTGTACAGCACATGGGGCAGTCACATTCAAAACAATATTGGCGCTTCAGGTGTTCCTGACGTTCTGGAGTGGGCATCATGGTCTCAACATAGCAGATGGTGAGCTGCACCCAATAAGAAAGGCAATGGTTTCGTTCACTTAAAGACCACAGCAAATAGCAAAGAGGTACTCCAAGCTAAAAAAAACAACCCATCCAACAAACTAGTCTACCACTAGAAAAGAGAACACATTATTTATTTTACCTTTTTGTTGAGATCTGGCTATCATCTGTCTATGGAATTGGTGAATTATTAATTACAACTCGCTCTCCATATACACAGTCTCTATATTCACAGATTCAACCTTCCATAGCTTGAAAATATCCCTCTTCAAAAAAGAATCCAAAAGCAATCATTGATTTGGACCATCTCAGAGATTAAGATTGTCTGGAGAGGTCCTGCTCTTGGTCCCACCTTCTTTGCAAGCGTGGCTGGTGGGGGCAAGAGACAGGGCCTTCTCAGTCATGGCCCCTCAGCTGTGGAACTCTCTCCTGAACAATATTAGATTAGCCCCCTCCCTCCTAGCCTTCAGAAGGAGAGTAAAGACCTGGCTCTGGGAGCCGGTTTTTGAAAACTAATGCAGTGCAATAACTTTAATGTGAAATAATGTGCAATTGACTATGGAATGACGTTAGACTATGCTTCATGGATGGCACATTTTAACATTGGAATATATTTTATTATGTTTAATATGTTAATTTTAATCCAATTTAGTCTAATTCAATACTGTATGTTTTCAAGGCACTTTGTAAGCACCACTTGTAAGCCACCTTGAGTCCCCCTTGGAGAGAAAAGTGGGATATAAATAAGGTAAATAAATTAATAAAATAAATAAATAATTTTCCCATTGTATATAAGGGGAACCATTTTTTTACACCATTGTATATAATGGGACTTGAGCATCTACATATTTTACTAATTATAGAGTCCTGGAACAAACCCAAGTAGATTCCAAAGACCCACTGTATTCACATTCCTGGTTAATTTAAGCACAGTTGCTTTTATAAAGCACTGTTTTCCCAGTCTTACTTTTGAGTTTCATTTAAAAGCAAAAAAAAATACTAGCATTTTCCTTGTTAGAGAAGGGTTAATCAAAGGGGTCTGCATGGTGAACCTATTGTAGGAGGCTGTCAGCTCTGATTATATAAGAAGAATATTAATTTAAAGATATGAAATGTGACAAGCATTGGCTAATGGGTTTTAATTCAGTCCAGATAGGCTTGGAATACCTGAGCCCGGTAACCAAGTTATTATATATGAGTGGTGTATGCTGAGCACAAAGATTTATGGAGTGCACAGAATTAGATAGCCACCCCAAGGGACAAGCAAAATTGGTCCTGCCAGAGCCAACAGTAAATGGCAATTCAAATGTAAGTGGAACAGTCAGAAATTGCTTAATACTGAGTTACAGAGTCTTTAAAACAAGGTCCAAATTCTTCTTAACATATGGTATTATAGCCTGTCTTATATCCCAAAACCTCAGAGTAGGGTAGGGGTTTTTTTTAAATGCAGGAATTAAATCCAATTTATTCCCCAATACATTGTGGTGACCTGTGGGCAAACCCTTCATGCTTTTATCCTGTCTTTCCAATACTACTTCCAAGACAGAAAGAGTTAAAAATCTGGAGGCTGACAAAGGAAAAAAAGAAGAAAGCAAAGGGTGGTGGGAAACAAAAGCTACCATTATAGGAAAGATAAAGGTGTTATAATTGCTTCTGAGTGACTAGTATCAGACTTCAGACTCATGTAGCCTTGTAATTAGAAACAGACAGACTGTCAAATAACCACAGCTGACTTCTATAATGGATCCCTTCTTATATTAGACCTAGTCATGAACTCAACTATAAGGGGAGCTGGATGGTTAACGACCTTTCTTCCTGCAGCACAGAATGGGAGCTGAGGCACTTCTTTTGCTATACTTGCCTACTCCGCGGTTGAGTGTAGTGCTGACAGATTTCCAGTAATAGCTTGTATTGGTTGGAAATCTATAATATCTCATAGATAGGTGACAGAACTCATAGATTTTTTTTCACTATAAGGTTTTGATATGACCATATCCTGAATGGATCAGATTCCACCTGCTCTTAGAAGATAAGCAGGATCAGGCTTGGTAAGTACTAGGATGGGGGACTATAAAGGAATATCATATATACAGATGGCTTCCCGTTTCAAATAAGACTTCAGAAATCTGCCAAATGGTAAATCTAGACAGTAAAACTGATGCAGTTTGACACCATTTAACTGTCCTGGCTCAATGCTAGGGAATCCTGGAGCTTGTAGTGTGGTGAGCTACCAGAACTCTTAGGCTAAAAAAACTAGACACTTCCTTTCTCAGAGGCCACAGAAACTTCACAAACTCATGAGAAGGGCAATGTTTTTGGAGCTGGAGAGGATGGCGCCTGCCTCGCATTGCCTTGATACGGTCTACTTAAGTCACTCTCTAGAAAGTCAAGGCTATTTCTAAAATGAGTTTTGTTCATATTATTCTGACTTGTTTACGTATTCCTTACTACTGCCAAAGTAATAGGACTTTTCAGTGATCCTATGCTGGCTGGTTTTGAATCCATACATAGCTTAGGGCCAGATTATTTTATGCAGAGTCTCCTCCTTTAAGCACAGTTACTTATAGCCCTCTGTCTGAATCTCTTGTCCTGGACAGATGGACTGAGTCCACTAGTTACAAGAAATTGGGGCGTTTCAGTGATGGCACCTCATTTATGAAATATTTTCCCTAGAATGTCAGGCCCAGGAAGAGACCATTGTGATCTTCTCAGTGCCAGGCGGACACCTTTTGTTTTCCCAGGCATTTATTTATTTATTTACTATATTTATATACCATCCCTCTCAACCCGCAGGTGACGGGGCAGTTCACAGTTGGTACCAAGACTATAAAATACAATTAAAAACATTAAAATATTATAAAACCATAGCAAAGTCAAAACAAACATATATCATTAGAGTCTCCTTGCTGAAAACATTGGCCAATCACATCGTCTAACCGTTCCATTTTCCTATATCAGTTACACTGTACTTGCAAACGCTTGCTCAAAAAGCCAAATCTTGACTTTCCTCTGGAATGTTAAAAGGAAGGGGGCCGATCGAATATCCCTAGGGAGGGTGTTCCATAGCCGAGGGGCCACCACTGAGAAGGCCCTGTCTCTCGTCCCCGCCAGCCGTCCTTGTGACAAGGGCAGGCTCGAGAGCAGGGCCTCCCCAGATGATCTTAAAGTTCATAAGGGGTGATGCATTCAGACAGGCAAGTTGGGCCAGAACCATTAAGGGCTTTATAGGCTAAAGCCAGCACTTTGAATTATACCCGGTAGCAAATTGGCAGCCAGTGGAGCTGGCACAACAGAGGAGTTGTATGCTCCCTGTACGCCACTCCCATTAGCAATCTGGTTGCCATCCGTTGGACCATTTGAAGCTTCCAGACAGTCTTCAAAGGCAACCCCACATAGAGTGCGTTGCAGTAGTCTATACGGGATGTAACCAGAGCATGGACTACCGTGGCCAAGTCAGACTCCTGTTTTATCATTTTTGGATCATAGCTCTTTGTTTATTTTGTGCCCTTCCAGACAGGTCCTATATCCCAGGATCTGATCCCAGGTTTTCTGTTTATCCCAGATTATCTGGCAGTGTGGACTCATATAATCTAGTTTAAAGCAGAAAACCTGGGATTAGATCATGAGATACAAGGCCCACCTAGAAGGGCCCTTTGCTGTTGGTTTCATTTGCTTCACAAGAACACTATCCTAAAGTGTACTAAGATTGATCAGTTGGTGGTTTCTGTGATGTTTAATCCAGTTTTAGCTTAAACAACTCAACTAAATATTTCACCTTTCTTTAAAATATGGAATATGGCAAATACATTTACAAATATCAGAGGTAGGATTATCATCTAAGAGGTTTTAAGAAATTCTGAGATTTATTTTTATCATCTTGTTGATCTTCATCTTATATGTAAGGTAGCTGTAAAATTCTTGCACATAGATTTATGCAGCTTTGATTGGCACACCAACAATAAGCTGGAAACTAGAAGTTGTTGAGAATGCAGCAAAACTTATGAACTGTCTTTACCTTAAAGTGCAATCCTATGCATATTTCCTAAGCAGAAAAATCACGAAGTTCAATTAGCCTTAGTTCCAAGTTAAGGTATACAAAAATCAAATCTTTAGATATTTAATTTTGTTTACTAGGAAAGCTAGTGTTTATTGCAGTGAAATATTCATTAATATAAATTACTTTGCTGTAGGATATTTATGACTATTCACAGACATTGAATATCAAAGATGCGGCAACATTTGATTACTGAGTGAAGCAAAACATTATTTTTAAAAAGTAATAGCTATATCATGTTCTTAAAAGGGCCAGGGACTGATCAAAATACCTTAAAGGCATTCGCTCCTATCTGATCTTGGAACCTAATTAGGGTCATCCTTTGTTAGTACTTGGATGAGAGACCACAGATGAATATTAAATGCTATAAGCTACGAAACTGGCAAGACCACCTCTTAGTATACTTTGCCTAAGAAAACCCTATGAAATCCATGGCATTGCTATAAGACAACAGGTGGCTTGAAGTCACTTATATACACAGATTAGCTGAACTTCAGTCTCACTGAAATTAATATTAAATATTATTCCTAACTGATTTTAACGCAGATATACAATTAACTTGGTCTTAACCAGACAGGAGCAGCTGTCTCAGGCTTAGGAACTGTAGACACTCTCACTCCAGATAGAAAGGAGTCATATTTCCCATACCTATTTTAAAAAAAAAACAACAACAACATCAGGGCGAGATATGGGAAAAAAACCTTGTAGACTCTAAGGGCCATGAAGGATAATTTTGCCAGGCTTTAAGGCTTTCCTGATCTATTCATCTCACGTTGCTTTTTGACTTAAAACAGCTTGAGGGAGGTAACTAAATTACCTTCCATGGCTCCTATGGGTACTAATGGGTATAAGGCAGATTTAGCAATATATTGTTGTTTTGCTGACAGGGATAGTGGATGGTATTGGTTCACACTGGTCTGTAGTAACCTCACATTTTCAAATCCTGCCAATCGAAAGGTTGGCATTTCAAGCCCGGATTGGGGTGAGCACTTGCCATCAGCCCCAGCTCCCTGCTCACCTAGCAGATCAGGGCGGATTACAGAAGACATATATGGCAAACATTCAATGCCGTTATACAATTAACAAGGACAGACAATACATAAACAGAGGTAAAGGCTTTTCCATTTTTTCCATTTTTTCAATTTCCAGCATCTGGAGGCTGTGCTCGGCTATGGCCGTGGGGGTGCCGAAGCTCCATTTTCCATGCCAAAGAGCTTTGTCATCCTTAGATATCCTCCCAATTGAATCACTGCTATATCCTTATGGGCACCTTTTATTACCTCCCTGCTTAAAGTGCTATCTATTTATCTATTCACATTTCTGTTTTTGATCTGCTAGGTGAGCAGGGAGCTGGGGCTGATGGCAAGTGCTCACCCCAATCCGGGCTTGAAATAATAATAATAATAATAATAATAATTATTATTATTATTATTATTATTATTATTATTATTATTTCACAGATGGAAACTCGGATACAGATAGCCGATCAACATCAGAGTATGCTCAAGATGGGAAAAGTTATTCATGATGAAGTTTTTTTAAAAGGTAGGAACGGGAGCAATAGTCTATTTTTTCCAGAGTGTAGAGGCAAGAGTCTGCCCTCTCTGCTCCTATAGAATAAATTGTGTACAGATTACTTTTTCACTTTGAACTCAGTGTGCTGCACTTGAAACAGAGAAATCAGAGGAGGGACTAGAATATCAGACAATTTCAAAATTGAATTAATTGGGACTGTCTCTGCCAAATTGGAATAGTTGGAGGGTATGGAACCCTCTGTGTCTAAAGGTTGCCTATACAGTACATGGCAAGCACAGAAAAGGCACAAAAGGGAAAAGCAGAAACACTTTGCTTTCAGGAAGAATATAATGATATTCATTCTCCTTCCACTTCTCAGCTATGGATGCCATCAGAACATTGCTATATTTATTCTTTTTTTCAATGTTACTTTGAAGCTCTGGGTGAAAAGGAGTAACGCTGGAGGAATCATGGAACGTATATTAAAACTGCAACTAAAATAAACACAGTTACATGTATGCTTTGCCGAGATGCCATATTAAGAGGGCAAGAAAAGAAGATGAAACATCTTCTCTCAATAGTCTGAACTCAACACCATAGCATATTTGGCTAGTAGCAATCTTCTGAGTGTATATATTGGATAAGACAATTTCTGGAGTGTATATATTGGATAGGACCATTAAGGTGGCAAGAAAAGGAGATGAAACATCTTTTCTCAATAGCCTGAACTCAACACCATAGCATATTTGGCTGGTAGCAATCTTCTGAATGTATATATTGGATAGGACCATTTCTGGGGGTAAAGAAGATGATATGAAGAATTTCTCTGATAAGGAATACAAATCATTTTGAAAGGGCACTTCTTCAAGTCATTTTTAATAAAAGCAAACAAGGAAACAACCCCTGCCTTGTTACTTTTCTTGCCAATGAAAGCTTTACAGCTTCAGCCTGGTTTCAATCTGACAAATGCTTATTGTTGCCATGATTTAGTGAATGCGGCATTCCACCCAGAAGTATCATAAGTGTTTTTTATCAGGGTAAAGGCACTCAAATACAAACAAAATGAAGTGCCTAGAGGAAGAATAGAAGGAGAAGAATTCATCAAGGCTGTCAGTGATTTATGAGAGGTAATGATTATGGGAGCCAGACAGTGTGAAGAGAAGATTCCCTTTATCATCTTCTTCCTGATAGCTACGTAATAGGAAGTCACATCAATATATCATCAAAGTGTTCAAGCTGGTGGCCCCATAGTCTGGAAGTTATTTAAGGAGATGCAACTGCTGCAGGTGGCATTGGCAGAAGACAGAACAAGTTAATTACCTCTTTCCCTTCCTGAATTTCCCGGATGGAACGAAGGTGGAGCTGGGGGCCCTCAAAGACAATAACACAGTTGGGATCACAACTGTTATTCAGCAAAGACATGCTAAAGAAGGCAAAGAGACAAGAGTAATTAGGAAATATATATATAATATAGTAAAAAATAGGATGCCGTTTCATACCAAGTCAGAAGCATTCAATGTAATACTATACTTCACTAGAAAGAACTCTTTGGGGTCTCAGAGTCAGTTTTTTCTTCATTTGATTTATGGTCCCCATAAAAAAAGGATAGCAAAAAAAAAATCCAAATAGTGGTGCTGTGATTTAATAGTTCAAAACTACAGATACAGTAGAGTCTTGATTATCCAACATAAATGGGCCGGCAGAGCATTGGATAATATGGAGTCTCCTACTGTTACCTGTCCGATGTGGTGCTAGACACCTAGAATACTAACAACAGGGACTGAAAGGGTTAAGGCAAGGCAATGCCTCGGGGCTAGAGCAGCCCAGCAGGAAATGTCCAGGTGTGGAAGAGGAGCATGGAAATCAAGAGGGAAGGAGGGAGGACGCTTCTGCTTCCGATCTCGCCTCTTTTCCCCCTTTCCTCCTTGTCTTGCTGTGTTCACTTATTGGGAATGTAGAGAGAGTTGGGAAGTGCTCCTTTAATTGAAGGTGAAATGCTGGAGGAAAAGGGAGCATCAGATAAGATGGAACGTCAGATAAACAAAGGTCGGAGACTCTACTGTACCATTTTTAGAAGGAGGAGAGAATATGAAGCAGTATTTAGTTATGTGAACCCTTGTCTCCAGTTTGAAGAGGTAAGCTTCAGATTCAGGCTTCCTGAGAATGGTGCTCTCCTCCCCCCCCCCCCCCCCCCCCCCAACCAAGTATTAATACATCTATAGCAGATAATATATGATTAGAGATGGAAGAGCTCACATTTGCTATTTTTCTTATCAGACATGGCAACATTGAAGGCTGATGACTCCAACATTATTAGAGTGGTGTCCATCTGGGGTTTTAGACCCCCATCTACACTGCCATGTAAAATCTAAATCATCTGCTTTGAACTGGATTATATTAGTCTAGATTGCCAAATAATTCAGTTCAAAGCATATAATCTGGGTTTTATATGGCAGTGTCGAAGTTGCCTTAGTATGATCTTGGCAGGAGCTTCACAGGGTATTGAAACTATTGTAGTTCACTGCATAATCATTGCAGATTTTATGTCATTTCCTTTTTATAAAAAAATGAGATGTGACCACTATATGCTTTTACAGGGTTCAGGCACCAGGGAGGGCATTCACTTTATAACATAATTGTTACTTGTAACTTCAACCTCTGGAGATGTCATGGATATTCTTTTGAGATAGGAGCCTCTGTCTTACGTGCAGGGTATTCTGGCTCTTTTCTAGTTTTATACACTGGTGATTCACAGTCTAGAGCACCAAGGAGTCAACTTTACCATTGATAACTATTTTAGCTATTCAGTTGTATGACAAGTGGGGAATGCCCAGTGCTAAATATTCTTGTTAACTGTTTTTCATTTCTCTATTTCTTGATTTATTGTACTAAAAGGTTTTGAGTAGCCTGGAATTGATTCTCTTTTTGTGTGTTGTGTTTAAGAGAGAGAATGAGAGAGAGTGCGCCATAATCATGGAAGCTTTGCTTGTGATTTAAGGAATGTTCACAGTACCTGGGATAAAGTCCAACACCAACACCCTGCATTTCTCCATTGCTAATGCTGAAACAGTTACAGGCCACCTGTAAAAACAAGGTTAAAATACAATTAGCATTGCTAGAGTCATTTCATATTGAAGTAAGAGATATGTTTAAAATAGAACTAAGGTAACTAGAGACACTCAAACCCAACACAAAGTTATCTTCCATAGTTCAGAGTGTAAATCAGGGATATAAATTCCCAAGAAGTGAAAAATAAAAATAGCTTAGAAACAGAAACATTAGCAGCCTTTAAAGCGTTGCATAACTGCAAGTTCTAGTTTGAAGGGAGGGGAAAATTAAACAAACAATTTCATTGTATGGAAGTTTGAAAAGTGATATCATAAATTAAAAGATAAAATCTGCCTACAAAGTAATTTCACAGGCCTTGACAGCAAACTTAATTTAAATAAATGTGTATGGTAATATAATTGCTTTTTATAAAAACACTGTACATTAATTAATCTATTATTTATTTAACTCATTCAAACAATCCCAGTCATTTACTAAAGCCGTACATCTTAATTATGTCTTGTTCACTGCTATTGGAAATGTTATTCCAGATAACACTCACAAGCCAAGTTTACTTCATTTTAAACAGCAACCATATTGGTTGCAAAAATATTGGCTTTACTTTTCAGTACACAAAGAATGAAGAACTTAACTCTGTTTTTCTGAAATATTCTTCAGAATGAACAGTTTGCCACTTTTTCCAATACAGTAGACCTATGTCAAATGGCCTATTAGTGATTCTTTGGATTTTGTTGGATTGCAGCTTCCACCAGCCACAACCAGTATAGTCAATGGTGATACACAGTTGAAACTGTAGTACAATGGCATCAGAATAGCCACACTTTGCCAGCCTCTTCTACATAATTGTAACACGACAGGACTCTTTGGGCCTGTATTTTCAAGCATCAAAACCTATACAGGAATCCCTGCCAAAGCAGCTGCTTGCCATTTACAATGTCAGCTAGTCCAGAGTCATACATATTTCTCAATTCGGCAGAGGCAAAGCACAGGTATAGTTAGGGTACAGTACAGGGTTCGAGCCAAGAAGTATCACCAAATCCAAATCGTCTTCCAAGGCAGTGGTTCTCAACCTGTGGGTCCCCAGGTGTTTTGACCTACAACTCCCAGAAATCTGACCAGTTTACTAGTTTTTAGGATTTCTGGGAGTTGAAGGCCAAAACATCTGGGGACCCACAGGTTGAGAACCACTGTTCTAAATCATAGTCAAATCCAGCAAGAGTCAAGGTTCGAGCAAGAGTTCACCATCAGGGATTCTGGGTATGTAGTTCAACAAAAGTTGCTCCCAGAACAGAACCAATCCACCCTTCAGCTCTTTATGCCATTTTCTCAAGTGCTCTGACCTGTTGGTTCTTTACTGAGTCAACGTATTAGATCTTCTCAGCTGAATACCCTCAGTTCTCAGCTGCAGCCGAGTTGGGATACTTAACTCTGCCTTTTCCCTGAGGAGTTCTTGATTCTGCCCTGACTCATTCTCCTTATTCTCTCTTTTTTTTTTTAAATACTTTTTATTGTGTGATTTTTTTTACAGACTAAAATAGAAAATAAGAAAATAAGAGAATAGAGAAAATACCGAGGGGTGAAGATAGAGAGAGAAAAGAGCACAAAAGTATAATGTACATAAATCATAAATCACCCTAACCCCAAGCCCTGGTGTCTTGACTTCCCAGAGTCTTCAAAGAGCTAATTAGCTGATTAGCATTTGATGATGATGTATTCCTTCTATAGTTACGTTTCCGGCATTGCTTCAGTCTAGAAGTTTTCTTCAAATGCTGGATAAGTCTATTATCAATGTCATCTTTCTGGCTTTGACAAAGTCTTTGAAACCCATCCAATTTGTCTTTTTTGGTGAGTTTTTTAGGCGTTGGGACAGACAGTCCATTTGGATTATGTCGAATGTTTTCATAATCCAGTCTTCAATTGTTGGAGTTTCTTTTTGTTTCCACATTTTGGCCAGCAATATCCTGGCCGCTGTACTTAGTAGGAAGAATATTTTTTCTTGGTTCACATTAAATTTTGAATAGGTTATTCCCAGAAGATACATTTCCGGAAGTTGTGGGAAATTAGTTTTTAATTTTTTTTGAATTGCTAGGTGTATTTCTCTCCAGTATTTCTGATTTTTTTGCAAATCCACCATTGGTGGTAATAGGTCCCTATCTTTTTTCTGCATTTCCAGCACTTGTTTGATGTGGTTTTACTGAATTTGGCAATTTTATCTGGGGAGTAATGCCACCTAAAGAACATTTTATTCTCTTGAGACTCCTGGATCACCTCTGTAGAGCAAGTATTTCCAGGATTAGGTTGCTGCTCTAACTCTGCTGCAGACTCAGATGCTGGGCAGAGAGGCCTTTCATCGTTGTCCTCAGCATTGATCCTGACAGCAAAGGCAAGTAAAACAACTCTGCAAAAAGAGGCAGTGAGGCAAATAAGTCCTGTTCTGTTGTTCAACGTATTAAATATCTTTGAAGGCCACTTAACTTGTAGGTGTTTCTCTGCATTGGTGGATGAACTTTGAACACCCTCAGCAGCATCACCATTCTTTTATACAGTGAAAAAGAGTGGCAGAATGGCAGGGTCAATCAATAGTCATAAATCTCCCATGTTAATGTCTGAGATGAAGAAGTTGACTGCAGTTTTTGCTCTGGCCAAGGCTCCAAGGGAAAATATGATGCTTCCAGAAATATTCAAATACTTTTCTGAGTGGTGGGCTTCAATTTTAGTTGAAGTGTTTGCTCAACTTAATAATACAAATACAATTGCAATAGATTGGAAAGAGAGTAGGATTGTTTCTATTCACAAGAAGGGTGATAGGCAAGATTCCAATAATTATCAATTGTGTGGACATTGTGAACATAGACTCTTAAGTTATGTAGTAAATATCTGTTAAATAAATAAATTAGGATTAAGAATCTACTAACATGTTATTCACCCTGAACAGGCTGGCTTTAAGTTGATCATTTTTGATTATTTTTTATTTTTGTTGATCATTTTTTATTATTTTTTTTCCAACCAAACAAAGAAGCCTTGGGTCTTATTAATTTGTTGCTTTTATTAACTTAGTAGTAGCTTTTGACTCGACTAACAGGAATCCTGATGTGGCATAAACTGGCCAGCCCCAATGTAAATTAACCACCTAGTGTTTTTAATCAAGGAAAACTGTTCCAATAGGATTGCTGGAATAAGATTTGGTATTTCCAGATCATTAATTGACCCTATTCCACTAATAAGGGAATGAAATAAGGGTTTCTCATATAGATAGTACCACTCTCTGGCAATGGAGTAGCTAAAATGGAGGTCCTTCAACATGCATCTTTTAAGTAACTGTTAATATTTCCACCTGGCACTTCCACACCTTTGGTTTGGGCAGATATGGGTTTGTTTTTTTCTTCCATTAGATCTCACGTTCATTTTACTTTATTTTACTTTATTCAACTGCTAGAAAATTCTAAAAGATTCTTCAGTCAGGCTTTTCCCCAAGTCATGTTTTGAACCATAATGACCTATGGTCAAATCATTACTAAAATAATGTTACCATAATGCAAATTAAATGCAAACTATGAGTTATATTTGGAACTGAAGGCACGCTTCAAATATGAGTTCCCTATAGTACAGTGACTAGAATATTGCTTTTGATGTGGGAGATCCAGATTTAAATTCTTGCCCAGCCATAGAACTGACAAGGAGTAGCGTAAGTCACATTTTTGCAGCCCTTTATGCTTCTGTTGAAGATCTGAGTTCTTTGGAGTTCATATTTCAGTTCAGAGGTTTGTTGTGAACCAAAGCAAAGAGAGCAATGTCTGTCTCATAACAGCTAGCCTTTCTTCTGCAGTTTTAGGTGAAGAAAAAGAATATTGTGCCAATACACTGAAGACAGAAGTTATCATTAGTCCTTTTGAAGACAATTACTTTTCAAACTTCTTAGAGTTTGTATGCAATTGTTCTCCTCACCAAATGTAGAAACCATTAGAGCAGACATGTGAGACACCTGTAGAGAGATTCGGCAGTGGCTAAAGACTATTAGTGAGTAACTCCCACTGTGGGTAAAGAAAAGAAAACTCTGCTAATTAGGATGTAAGGCATTTGTCTTTGCAGCATTTTTGATCTCAGAATCTCCCTATCCTGTGCATACAATTAATAATGGCATTGCTTTTAAAGCCTTTGCTATTTTTGTAGTCAGCCACAGCAATCCAAGGATAATATGCACACCTGATCTATGGGATTCTTCTTTGTGCTCACTAGGAGCTTCCCTGCTTTCAATTTATAATGCTAAGAAATCTGAGGTGCCAACAAACAGAAGGCAGATTTAATTTTTTTAAAATTAACAAAGACAAAAGGGATGCAAAGAAACCCCACATTACTGCAGTCTCTGTCGAATAGGAGAAACTACAAAACCTACATATTGTATGATTTTATCTAACACTGTGAGTTTTATAATTTATTTATTTATCTATTTATTTACTGTGCTTGTATACCACCCTTCTCAGCCCTCAGGCGACTCAGGGCAGTTTACAATGGCAATGATTTGATGTCCAAAAACACCATAAAACATTTAAAAATGTTAACACATAATATTAAAACATAGATCATTTGCATCTCTTCATAAAAAAATGTCCCATCTCGTCGTTCGGTCATTTCAATTCCTATGTCTTTTACCTTGAATTTTCAAATGCTTGCTCAAACAACCAATTCTTGACTTTTTCCGAAATGTTAAGAGGGAGGGGGGGTGATCTAATGTTCCCAGGAAGGGCATTCCATAGCCGAGGGGCCACCACTGAGAAGGCCCTGTCTCTCGTCCCCACCACACGTGTTTGTGTCGCAGGCGGGATCGAGAGCAGGGCCTCCCCAGATGATCTTAAAGTCTTCGCAGGTTCATAAGGGAAGATGTGTTCAGACAGGTAAAGTTGGGCCAGAACCATTTAGGGCTTTATAGGCTGAAGCCAGTACCTTGAATTGTGCCCGGCAGCAGACTGCTTTTGTGTTTTTTGAGTTAATTTACCAATAAATCCTAAACTTAT